AAAAAAATTTGCCTCTCGGTGACCCCCCTGTTTAGAGAGGGGCCTGGAAAACTGAAATGTGGGAGAGAAAGAAAAAAAAAATCAAGAAAAAGATTTAAAAAAAAAAAGGAAGCAAAAAAAAAAAAAAGGTCAAGATGTGAAAGTGTAAAGAAAAACTAAAATATAAATAGGATTTCTGCGCGGTGCAGGGTGTGAACCTGCTTTATCTTTTAGGATTGTTTCCTAAATGCATCTTTATAAACTTAACTTGCTGTCTCAGCAAGGTAAATTATATTTAAAAGCAAAGACCTGAATCCTGCAGTGTTCAAGGAACTCTCTTTTTGTAAATCACAGATACCTCAACCAGAGAAACATGAGGTGAGGGGACTTGGGGCTTATGTTTCCATTTTTTTTAAAGCTATGTGGTTTTATCTGAAGAAAGCGGAGTTTGACTTTAATAAAATTTGCACACACTACAGCAAAGGCCGTGACAATTTTGCTGTCTTGAAAATACTGTCCTGACAACTTTGTTTTTAAAGAACAAACCGAGGGTGAAGGGTTTGGGGAGGGGTTTCAGGAGGGGCTTCACCCATGCAGGGTAGGATTGCAGGTCTGGATCACTGGGATGCATCCCTTAGAGGTGGTGGGCCCTCCAAAATCAAGGAATCTTCTGGATTGATGGCTTAACCAGCCCGCCCCGAGGCGTTCCTTACACAATCACTGTTTTATCTGCATCTCTCTTTTGTTTTCCTATTTATTATTTAACTGGTCATTCCACTTCCAGCCAGGCTGAGATTGATGTGAACTCTGCTCCTAGGAGAAATCTGGACTTACACGCACAGTTGCTTGTCCTTGAAATGAGTCTCACCAGCACACTCGCTGCAAGTCCTGTCTCGCTTTTGTACGCTCCTTTTTCTTTGTAATAAAATCCAACTTGACCAAGTGACCAGGAGACGAGGGCTCTGCACAGCTCCTGTATTTATTAAATATTGTTCCTCTCCGGCTCTGACCGTGTTGCTGTGTGATTCTCTCAATTGGTTTCAAATTGAGGCAAAACCGAAGCTCTACCAATGAATTGTTTAAAAGAACCAGACACATTTTTGTATTAAAATTGCTTGCGGTAATAAACAATCTTGCCTCCTGCTTTATTCCCCAGTGTTAGCTTTGTAAAGAAGCTTATCCCGTGTGGGGGGAAGGCAGTGGCTGTGGGATTCAGGGGGTGTTTGCACCCAGGTTTTCTTGTGGGATGGAGCAGGAAACCACCCAGCCCCAAAATTAAAGTGGTCCAGGTGGGTGGGTGAGGTTGGTGAGGTGCTCAGTGGGGTGGGGAAGGGATGCAAGGGGGTGTCCAAGGGTTTGGGTGGCCTTGGGAGGGATTCCCTGGTTGGATGAGTGTCCCCAGGTGTGTTTGTTCAGGGATTTGGGTGCCAATGAGGGTGGATCCACCTGGGTCTGGTTTCCCACAAGGGTGAGTGCCCCCAGGTGTGAATATTCATGGATTTGGGTGCCAGTGAGGGTGGATACCCCTGGGTTTGGTTGCCTACAAGGGGGAGCCTCCTTAGGGGTGGGTGTCCATGGGGTGAGCATCCCTAGGAATGGATCTCCAGGCATTTGTGCACCCACGAGCAGGAGCATCCCTAGGAATGGCTTTGGGTGTGAGTGAGGGTGGGAACCCAGGGCTTTGGGTGCCCACCAGGATAAGCATCCCCAGGGATGGGTTCNAGGGGAAAAACTTAGGGCATTGAGAGGAACAACACTTAAGGCATCACAAGGAACAAACCTTAGGGCATCAGGAGGAACAAACCTCAGGGAGGACATTGAGAGGAACAAAACTTAGGGCATCAGGAGGAACAAAGGGCATCAGGAGAAAGAAAACTTAGGAACATCAGGAGGAACAAACTTTAGGGCATCAGTAGGAGTAAAGGGCATTGGGAGGAACAAAACTTAGGGCATCAGGACAATGGGCATCAGGGGCAACAAACCTTAGGGCATCATTAGGAACAAAGGGCATCAGGAAGAACAAAACTTAGGGCATCAGGAGGAACTAAAGGGCATCAGGAGGAGCAAAACTCAGGGAGGGCATCAGGAGGAGAAAAACTTAGGGCATCAAGAGGAGCAAACCTTTGAGAACTGAGAGGAGCAAAGGGCATTGGGAGGAACAAAATTTAGGGCATCAGGAGGAGCAAAACTTATGGCATTGGGGGAAAAGTAGGGCATCAGGAGAAAGAAAACTTAAGGCATCAGGAGGAACAATCTTTAGGGCATCAGGAGGAGCAAAGGGCATTGGGAGGAACAAAGCTTAAGGCATCAGGAGGAGCAAACCAAAGGGCAGTAGGAGGAGCAAAACTTAAAGCATTGGGAGGAGAAACCTTAGGGCATCAGGAGGAGCAAAGGGCATCGAGAGCAGGAAAACTTAAAGCATCAGGAGGAACAAAACTTAGGGCATTGGGAGGAAGAAAAATTTAGAGCATCAGGAGGAACAAAGGGTGTCGAAAGGAGCAAAACTTAAGGTATTGGGAGTAACAAAACTTAAGGCATTGGGAGTAACAAAACTTAGGGCATTGGGGGAACAAAAGGCATGAGGAGGAGCAAAATTTAGGGCAGTTGGAGGAACGAAACTTAGAACATCAGAGGGAACAAACCTTAAGGCATAGGGAGGAACGAAACTTAGGGCATTGGGAGGAAGAAAAATTTAGAGCATCAGGAGGAACAAAACTTAGGGCAATCAGAGGAACGAAACTTAGAGCATCAGAGGGAGCAAACCTTGAGGCACAGGGAGGAGCAAAACTTAGAGCATNGGGAAAATCTTCCCAAATAAATCCTGGGATGCAGCTGGGACAGGGTGCTCCTGGCTGAGCTCTGTGTCCTGCAGCTCCCAGTGCTCATCCCAGGAAAAAGGAGGAAGCAAACTGGGACTCTGGAATTGTTGGGATAGCTCCTAAATCCCTCCCCACTTCAGAAATCCTCCAGAGTTTATTTTTTCCCCCTGCTTGCTAGCAAAGGACAGCATCTTCCCTGCATCTCCTTTAAACCTATTTTGGGATGCAGAGCACTTGATGTGGTTGAATATCCTGGCATCTCCTTTTAATTTGGTGCCTGAAATGATCGTGGGGACCCACGGGGAGCAGCCAGGCCCGGTAATTACGAGTGGAGCGGAGTTTGTAGGAGTTTATAGAAGGAAAAACGTGCAGCTAAGAATAACCTGGGCAGCAGGAGGAAGGGAAGGGAGCTGGGAATGCTCAGGGAATGGGAGACACCAGGAGGCTCAGCTGAGAGGGAGCTGGGCATCCCTGACAGGGGAACGGCCCCAAGGCTGTTCATATTTGTTCATAATAATTCTTGTATTATTTTGGGGGTGATGGGAGCACAGAGGGGCACGCAGCTTTGGGGGAAGCTCCTGGGGATGATGCCAAAGGAGAGGGAAAGGAGAGCAAAGCTCCTTTTTTGTGCAATCCAGATAACCCACCCACAGGTAATTGAGGGTTTATATTGGTTTATAATAATTTTTATATTTTTCGGGGGATAATGGGAGCACAGGGGGACACTCAGCTTTGGGGGAAGCTCCTGGGGACGATGCCAAAGGAGAGCCAAGCTCTTGGGCTGGGCTTTTTTGGTGCCTGTGCTCCGCAATCAATTATCCATGGATAATTGAGGGTTTATATTGGTTTATACTGGTATATAATAATTTTTATATTATTTTTGGGGGTGATAGGAGGACAGAGGGGACACTCAGGTTTGGGGGAAGGTGCAGCAGCTCCTGGGGATGATGCCAAAGGAGAGCCAAGTGCTTGGGCTGGGCTTTTTTGGTGCCACTGCTCTGCAATCTGGATCATCCACCCACAGATAATTGAGGGTTTATATTGGTTTATATTGGTTTATAATAATTTTTATATTTTTGGGGGGATAATGGGAGCACAGGGGGACACTCAGCTTTGGGGGAAGCTCCTGGGGACGATGCCAAAGGAGAGCCA